TTTTTAAAGAAAAGTTCAAGTTACTATTACTTTTCTTTGCGAGATTGGAATAAGAATACTTTCGAATTAGGAATACAAATAGTCTCAATCTAGAGTGGTTGTAAATATATGTTGCTTAGTATATATTTTTGGTAACATTTTTCTGTAAAAATAATATGGAAACATCTTTAGCACCTCTAGGCCATTGTTTTTTTTATAACTTGCGCGTCATCAATTTCAATCCAAGATGTTCCTTCTCTACGCATACTTGTATAATGACCCTCGTCGATACACGAACCGTAATGGAATATAGCACTCATAACTTTAAATGTTTGTCCAGCTATTATTATTTTTGTTGTCGGGACTGCACGTAAACTAAATTTGTGTGGTATCTTTACTAATTTACCAACATCTGAAGAAAATGATATTAAGTTGATAATAAGTATTTCTCTCTCTTTTGTCGAAACTAATTCACTTTTAAATAATATGTCATTTCTTCCACAACATTCACATAATTTATCAAACGTCTGACACCAATGTGATGAAAATGTACTTTTTAATAAATTATCAAGATTATAACTTTTCTTCTTCAGATTATTAATAGAAATTGAAAGAAAGATATTAGTATTAGTAGTAACATTTATATAACCACATGAATTGCATCGATAAGTAGAAGTAGCTTGATGTTCTACCATACTCTTTATATAATCATATTTTGAACAAAGAGCTGTAAGAAATTCTAATGCATCTCGTTTATTAGCAACCGAGGAATACTCTCCTAAAGATTGCCGTATTTCATAGGTATTCAAAGTATTCGTTCCATGTTCATATCGATGAGTGAACACATTTAAAACATCAAGTTTATCATAATTTAATAATTCTTTTCTGAAAATATATAAATTTAATAAACATTGTAATACTGCATTCGCATAACATGAAACCTTGTCTATATTTTGAAAATCGCGTATAATCCAAGCAGTATTTTTTAATAGAGCTTCTTTTTGACCTGATTCTTGAACGGAAGTAATTGCTTTCGATAATGTCCACGAAACATCTTTAACTTTACGATAACGCTGTTTTGAAATAGTGATCATTACTAATTCTGAATTGTGTATTTGTTTCAATCGATTATATTTTAGAATAGCTTTTTCACTAGCAAACACGGATGAAGGATCACAATTAATTAAGTGCAATCCATCGAGAGATGTTACTCGAGATAATGCAACATAAGTCTGACCGCAACTAAATACATTATTACCTAGATCCATAATAGCATTTTTTGCAAACTCAATCCTTGACTTTTATGAATGGTAATACCATAACTCAAACATAATGGAAATTGTTTTCTAATAACATATACTCTATCCATCAATAGAAATTTAACACTTACTCTTTCAATAAAATATTCTAAACCAGACGGCAAAGGAACTTTTATTTTTTCTATGTAATCAGTAGTTTTATCCTGCACAACTGATATAACTGTACCATTTATAAGGCCTAAACTGGCATCAATATTGCGTCTTATTATAACTTTTGCTCCAATTTTAATTATAATTCGCTTTGACAGTCCAGCTGTTCTAGTATCATCAGCATCATCATTTGACAATAGTTTTGTTACTTTTTTTTCATATATTGAATACAATCAATCGTATCTTCAGCAATTAAAAATATTTCTTTCGAAACAATTCGACTCAACATTGCAGCGTTAAGTTTGTGACAAGTAGGTACACATGTGACAAGTAGGTAATAAACAAACGGTATCAGATGATAAATTATTAATAAAATCACATAATTCATTTAATCTTATTTAAAAAAACTCACCTTTAAAAAATATTTTTCTTTTTTCAAGAATATCACAATCAGATGGTGTTAATAAACCAATGCGAATTCTGGAAAGCAACTCACGATAAGATCCATCTCCTTGCTGACGCATATTGATTGTCAGTTCATCATAATCAAATAAAGTAGTCCATAGATTGGTAGCACTTAAAGAAACAAGATATTTACGAATGTTTTCAGCTGTTAATTGTACAAAGGCAGGATCTTCATGTACAGGAGGTAACTGAAGCAGATCTCCAAATTAAAGAACGTACTTTTGACCGAACCAACCATCATCACAATCAATAGTATCGTATATTTCAGATAGTCGTAGGTGTATATACATAAGAATTAAATTAGATATCATTGACACTTCGTCAATTATAATAAGACTAACATCTTTAAGGTCTGCTCGTAAAACTTTCAAAGCGTGGTTAGCTAATGGCCTATATTTAGGAGTATGGCCATGTTCAACGGGTAATTGCAATAATCTATGAACTGTCAAACCGTTTATATTATACGCTGCTATACCAGTAGGTGCTGCTACAGCAGTATCCTTCTTGAGATTTTGTTTTAACCAACATTTAATTGTTTTAATTAAGAAACTTTTGCCAGTACCTCCTTCTCCGCTAACGTACAATCGTAGTAGTAATTTACCTGACGTTATGGTATTAGTGACTTTATCAAATACTCTTCTTTGATCCGAATTCAATTTTGAAATCATTTGAGATATATCGATTTCCTGTTTGTCACCAAGATCTTTAAAATCTTGCATCGCATCACCAGCTTGAATATTTTGTACACCTATTGGATTATCAGGATCATCTTGAGACGTATTCTGTTTTTCTAAGTCATCCAAATGTTGCTGAAGTAATTACTTCGCAGTTTCATATGCATTTTTCAATTCCTCTAATTTTTCATGATACTCCGATGCCTTTTCAAGATTCATTCACAATTCATCATTGTGAAATGATTCTGCATAAGTATCATATCCATTTTTAAGATCGTGTATTTTTCGCCATGGTTTAAACATAAGAAGTAATGAAAAGAAATAATCTTCCGGTCGCGAATTGACATCATATTTATAGTGATTGATAAGACATTCACGTTGTCGCCGTTTCAAATAATAGCCGTTACTCATTTTATAATATATAATTTTTTTACTTTTTGGTTTGATTTTTGTTACGTCATGCCACTGTACAAATTCATATAAGAACATTGTATCAAGTTCTTCCGGTCTATTTGGATAATGACTGTCTATTACAGATGGACAAAATATATCAGTAGAATCACCTTCGAGAGCTTCAATTTCTTTACAGTTTTTGACTTTTCTATATCGTATCTGATTAACATCTAACCATTTAATAGTTGTGTTTCTATCAGTTCCATGTAGAGGAATACCTAACAATGTATCAACTGCTTCAAGAGTTCCACATTCTCTATTATTAGTGAGTCGCAAAGCAATATTCCAAAAATCGCTCGCCACTGATTTGTTCTTATTATTTGTACTATTAAGGACAGAATCAGATAATTCACATTTTGCTGCTTTATTCAAATATTTAGTAACATAATACGTTAGCAACCTTGAGTTATCACCAATAAATTGTATATCCATATTTCCTTCCCAAACAGTAAGAATGATACGATTGTAATCATTTATATTCTGTTCATCATCTGTTCGCGGAAGGTCATAAAGTCTACTTTTATGTTTCAATTGTTTTCTACCTGCTATTGAACTTACAACATCTCTGAAAATCAACGTATCGGTAGAAGGACGAGGAAAATCAAAACGACATACACGATAAATTTTAAGCGTGTATGTGAAGCTAGCATATCACTTGGTGGAAAATAAAAAAATGTTAAGAGTTCTGAGCATATTTTCAATAGTTCTACAGTTCTATATAAATTAAACAAATAGTTCCGGCCATTAAAGCCGAGAAACCCACTATACAAAATGATATGCCAGGTTCACGCAAAGCGAATTTTGTCTAACAAAGGCAATAATTACATTTTCTTATAGGATTTTAAAAA